AGGGAGGAGGGGCTTGGTCCTGCCTCAACTTGGTATCCTAGACTTTGATGGCTCCCCAGGGGAGGTCTTATCCCCTCTGAAGTGTGGACAGGAGGAGGTGGTGAAGAGGGAGAGGGGAGGGAGTGAGAACTGGGGTTGGGATGTAAAAATAAAATTAAATAAATAAATAAATAAAAAGAACTGCCCTAAACTTCCAAAACCCAAACTAACAATAATAAAAAAGAAATCTTCCAAAAAAAAAAAAATTAACAGCCAGGTGGTGGTGGTACACTCCTTTAATCCCAGCACTCTGGAGGCAAAGGCAGGCAGATTTTAATAACCTCTTGAAATCTTGTGGCTAATTCTTTGGTATTATGCCCAAACTCACAAGTGACAATTTTTTTTAAAGATTTTATTTATTATGTATACAACATTCTGGTTCCATGTATATCTGCACACCAGAAGAGGGCACTAGACCTCATAACGGATAGTTATGAGCCACCATGTGGTTGTTGGCAATTGAACTCAGGACCTCTGGAAGAGCAGCCAGTGCTCTTAACCTCTGAGCCATCTCTCCAGCCCGTGACAATTTCTTAAAAGCTAGTTGTGTGGTAGAATCTGAGAACATTATTTTGTCACTTCAAATCTGTATCTTCTATTCTGAGTGGATCTTTTGCACATATATAAGTTTATAGCTGCATACTTAGGATATTTGGCAGAAAACAGTACAACAAATGATATAGCTATTCATTTTCATTATTTTATATTACACACACATACACTCCCCCCCCTGCATCCCAGTAATATTGGGGAGTGAAGTCACATAAGTGTTCATCTACCACTGAGCTATACCTTTCCCCCACTTTTTTTTTTAAACTAGGATTTCATTTAAAGTTTAAAGGACCTTGGGTGTCTCATCCTCCAGCCTTTGCCTCCTGAGTACAGAGATTACGGCAGACATTGCACACATCTGCAGAGACCCCATCATACCCAGCAAAATCTCAGTTCTTCCTATGGTTCACCTGACACTCCCCTTGCACCATCCCTGTCAGATCCCCAGGAAGCCTCACACGAACATGTAAAGTGACAACAGCTCTGTGACCAAAGATGAGGTCATGAGCAGAAGGCCAGGAGAATATTCATTAACTGTAATTTCCATTAATCATGAGGAAAATATGCTGGGCAAATGTCAAGCATATTTTTCAAAACTCAGATATGTGTTTCAGTGTCTGCATTTTACCAGGGCAGCACACATTGACAGCCTGTCTTCCTTGAATTATTAGATTCACTTTACTATTTTTTTTAAATTAGGGTTCCCCCCCCCCAACCCCAAGACAGGGTTTCTTGTGTAACAGCTCTGGCTGTCCTGGAACTCACTCAGAAGACCAGGGTGACCTCGGACTCACAGAGATCCACCTGCCTCTGCCTCCTGAGTGCTGAGATTAAAGGCATGTGCCACCACTGCCTGGTAGAAAAAAAATTTTGGAGACAAGTCTCACTCTATGTAGTGAGACTGCCAACTGTCTGGCCTCAAACTCACAGAAATCCACTCGCCTCTGCCTTCCAAGTGTTAGTATTAAAAGTGGGTGCCATCATGTCTGGCACACATGAATAGTATGAACCATCCACTGTTCTGTTTTGTGCTAGGAACGTACCCCGTTACTCACACAGACTAGCGAAGCTCTACCTCCCAGCTAAGCCCCAAGCCACTGGAGTTTGCTTGCCCTTGACCCTCCCTTTCATTAGTTCCCATTACTTGGATCAGAGAGCTGAAGGGAAGAAAGCACTTTAGAAATCACTTAGCTCATCACATCCACAGTCAGGAATAAAGCACTCATTGTTATAGAGGAAAGGTATGAGCAGGGTTAAAGACAACTCAACTATTAAAGAGATTAACAGCACTGCAGGGAAGCTTGGTATTCTGCACAGGGACCACAGGAGGGGAGTCTTGTAGGCAAGCCACTCCCTCTGGAGGTTCCATCCTTTGGATACCCAAGTTCCTTTAAGGGAAAAATGTGCTGAAGAGGTTCTTGAAACACCCCAAAAGCAGTTGCCTAGGAAGGAGTTTCTTCAGAGTGGGCTCAGAAACTATGGTCTAGGGGTGAGGGGTGCAGGGGTGCAGGGGTGCTCCATTCCAAGGCGGCTGCAGAGCTTGGCAGTGTTATCCATTGGTATTGGTTTGCAAGACTGAGAGGTCATGGTGAACAAGCTGAGGCCAGACACTGTGCCAGAGTCCGGTCCCTTCAGTTCAAGAACTGGCTTAGGCCTGAACACACGGGACTGGGTTGGAGCTATGGGAGTTCAGGATGTAGAAGGCCCTAGGTCTGATCTCCAGAACTGCCAAAAGGGAAAACAAAGGCCACCAAGTGTGGGATAGATAACCATCTCATTCCATAGCCAGAAAGCCTAAAGGGACTGCAGTAAAAATGCCTGTAGCCAAGGGTGATTTCACAAGCTCTGGTGTCCATTTACAAGCCTGCTTGCATTCCATGACAAACAGCAAACTGCCCTGCAGGTTCCTTAAACAAGGTTTCATAGCTCGTGCTTTTCCCTTTGGAAATTTTCAGGATGGGTGTCCACTATTCTGTGGGAGCAGTAGTGACCTCACTGGAAGAGCATCATAGAGGAGAAGAGGAGGCCTGGCTTGCAGAAGAGGACCCCAGAGCTCACAGAAATATCCTGAGTTCAGGCAGTGATACTGTGCCCTCATTAGGAAAGTACCTTTGAGCTTGGACCAGCTCTAACCACAGAGTGGCGTTTTCCATGCTTCACATTCTGGCTGCTCAGAATCCAGCTAGCTGTGAACCACTGTGGGCAGCAGCTAGCTGTTAGCATATTTGGAACTGTCAGCAAGGAAGTATAGCCAAAATGAGAATTGCTGTTAGAAAGAGAAATACCGAGTAAATTGCCGATTAACAACAGAATGTCCACCACGTGCTTCAGCCTCCGGTGCCTTGAAGCTGGTTGTCTTCTCCAGTGGCCCAGAACAAACAAGGAACCAAGGAAGTAATTTGCATCCTGTGGATCCCATTACGGAACCACCATTGAGGGCAGGGGTTACTGCACTTATTGTCAAGGCGAGACTTTATGCCTTAACTCACCTCTCCTAACCCGTTCTCCACAACTAGGTGAGATTTGTTTTCTGGACAGCCTCTCCTGCAGTCTGTCCACACGGAATGGACAGCTGGAAAAGGGGAGATGAATCAGTGAGAACGGCCCTAGGAAAGTGATCTGTTGTGAGACTTGCAGGGGTGAAAAGCATCTTGTGAACAGTTGATTAGGATCAGATCTGTCTCTAATCACAACCTTCCACCTGTGAGAGAGCCCCTACTAGCCCACACTCACCCTTCTATGCAAATCTCTCCTGTAGGCTTCCTGGAAAGCTGGCCTCCAGCTCAGGTTGGCTGGAACTAATAGCAAGCTGACATTGAACTCAAAGCAGTCCTGTCTCAGACTTGTTTGTTTCCACAAGACAGAGTGAGCTGTCATGCCCTGGGAACTGAAGTTGGGTCCTCTGCAAAAGCAGCCAAGTGCTCTTAATCCTTGAGTGGGTTTCTTTTTGAGTCATCTTTGCCTCAACCCATTGTCTCAAGTTAAGGCTCAGTAATTCTCAGTCCTTTGAAGGTGAATGTTTTGCATCACTAACAAATTCAACAGATGTGGGAGGTACAGAAATGGGTTAAAAAAAAAAAAAAGCTCAAAGCAGAGTGCCTTTCCATAGGCCGGAGTTCAATTCCCAGCACCCATGTTTGGTGGCTCACAACCACTTGTAACTTCAGCTCCAGGGGATTTGATACCCTCTTCTGGCCTCCAGAGATACTTGCATATATTTACACAAACATACAAATAATAATAAAAGATTTCAAGCATAAATATAAAACTTAAAAAAGATAAGGTGGTATGTTTTGTGGTTCAAGATTGTTCCAGCTCAACTTCCTTGCCAGACCAGCCGTGCAGATTAGAACCTACTTCTGGTAGGATTTCGTCTCCTTTAGCAAGGGGGAAGGAAAGAACAAGTAACTGAATTTGGGTCTTGTAACATTCATGCCAGAGGAAACTGAGAAGGGTAGTCACCTGCCTGAGGACAACTGGCTAGCGATGGCAGACTATAATCTAGCAACACCACTTCTGTATGGGCCTCCTTCATGTGACTTGAGCATGAATGCTTCATTTTTATAGAGGCTAAAATTGGGATTCACAGCCAGCCTAGTTCCTGACACTGAAGTCCAAGTGCTATTTCTGAGGTAATCTGAGCAGGTGGGCTAGTTAGTCCCTTAGTTATTAGTTCACCTTCCAAGCAGGGAGGGACCCAGAAGTTTGGGACAAGGCCCTTTAAGAGCTTGGGGTTTTTCACTAGCCAGACTGGCCAGGCCCTGCCTTGTGACTGTAGGATCACCTTAGTTCCCTGTCTTAGTTTGGTTTCTTGGCTGTAGATCAAGTGAGGTCTTACGATGTCGCGTCCACACCTCCTGTTTCCTAACCTTTAGCACCCATCTTGTATTTGACCTATGCCAGGGGCTTAGAAAAGGCCCCATTTCTGGGAAATATTACAACAAGGGTGGAAGGGGGGCTGTATACCTACCTCTTTAGCATTCTATGGAAAATCCACTTCCGTAACTCTCAAAGGATCTATTTTATCTCCTCCTGGGGACTGCCGTTTTAGCTTTGTGGCACCCAAAAGATCCATTTGGAAAGTGGGCCAAAAGCTGCCCTGGGATCATGGGCTGGTTTGGTCTCCAATGTCTTCTGAGAAGGTTCTCCCATCCCCATGCCCTCTGTCTGGGCTTCAGCAGGGATGAGTGGAAAACAGCTGGGATAAAGTATAGCTCCTCTCTGAGGAGCACTTGTGGAGAAGATGGAGAGGAGGGAAGAGTGTTCTCTTTGTGGAGGGAGGGGACACATGATCTTAACCATAGGTGGGAAGGACCTCACAAAAACATGTCCTCATGTTCTTCTGCAAATGGAACCCCATCCCATCCTTCATGAGGACTCTAGTCAGAAAAATACTCAAAAGCCAACAGTCTGATAGAATGTGTTTATATTTACATGGTACATTTTAAAGCAATGGCTACATTGGTCATACATATTAGAAACCATAAAAAAAGTTAAGAACTAAAATGTACATCATACACTTGTATATATATATATATATATGTATATATATATGTATATATTTACAGAGGTAAAAAGGCTTATTATAAAAAAATCAATACAACAGGGGTTTTAGTATACAGGTGAATGAATTATGCTTCAGGCACTTTAATTTGTTAATGTGAGCAAATAGCTTGGGGGGGGAGTCAGGGAAACTTCTGAACAGAAACTCTTTTGGCTAAGTTTTGTTATCATGAATATAAAAATAAAATTTGAATAATTTCTCTCAAATGATTGACATCAGTATGGCAAAGCTGACTGGGAAAATACTACACACCATTCAGCTGCAGTGTGGCAATTAAACGTATTTACATAAATGTCCCCATGGCTGTCTTTGTGCCCTTAACCGCTGCCTTCACAAACCAAAAATGATGCGCGGAGTAAGATTGACTAGCATAACTCTTAAGAAGGGTAGAAAGGAGCAAGGGGGAGAGGAAGAATAAAAGATGAGAAAGGCAACCAACAGGAAGCAACTGGGATGTGTTCTTATTGAAATAAATAGGGGCACTTGAACTGAGGTCTGAGGAAATGTAGATTAGTGTTGTGCTTTGTAGAGAGGTGACTTGGAGAAAGGGCCCGAGGGAAGGTCCTCAGGCTGGGGCCAGACAGTCTCTCCACAGCACTGGAGGCTGGCTAGAGGCAGTCTAGATGATCTCATGGTATGGAGACCCCGCCATAGACAACGCTGTAGCTCTCTGCACCTTTTCTACAATAAATATCCCAACCAGTCATCCCAGCAAAGGAAAACATCTACCAACTAACTCAGAAGCACACTGATCATCTACATTGATGATCCGTCTAAAGAAACACAAAGGCTGTCAAGGCAAGCAGAAGAAAACGTTGCCATGAAGGTCAGCATGGCTTGCATTTTCCCATTATGACTGATACACTGGAAAAAAAAAGTCCTTTTCCTTGAAGACTCATGTCCTGTGTGCAATAAAGGGAGGGGTAAGAAGTAGAGGGGACTGACCCTGCCTTCCGCTGGTAATTACCACGGAAAGATCTTGGTGGGAAGAACAGTCATTGGCAACAAGCATGTCCCCTATGGTCCCCGAGAAGTTCTGATTGTCTAGGTATAGGTAACCACTTTTACTCCCCCACCCACCCCCGTCAAGATTTGGCTATTCCTTGTAATATATTAAAAAAAGTTTTTTCCTCCTCTAGCAAATTAGAAGCCTTTTATGTGGCTCAGTGGCAGGTAGAATCAGTTGGTGATCTACCCTTATCTGTGCACCTCAGGTGGCAAGCGTGGGTGTGGCATTGTAGGAGAAAAGACACTTAGGCATTGGAAGGGTTTTTACATATGGCCTTGTTTTTTCCTAAGTATAAATTAATTGAGACCCAAATTAAAACAAAAACATAAATCCACAACAAAATGGGTCAGCCACCACTAATTTAGTTATTTAAAACTACCCCTGAGGGTGGTGGTAGCACACACCTTTGATCCCAGCACTCAGAGCCTGAGGCAGGTAGATCTCTGTGAGTTGGAGGCCATCCTGGTTTACAGAGGGAGTTCCAGAACAGGCTCCAAAAGCTAAATAGAGAAACCCTGTCTTGAAAAACCAAAACCAAACCAAGCCAAAACAAAACAAGACAAAAACAAAAACAAGAAACAAAACAAAACAGTTCCCCCTGAAAAATATAAAATAACTTGCAGGGGGCAGGGAACGGCTAGTTTTATTCACCGTAAAGTTTAGTGTTTCTCAACTGGAACCTGTTTGCAGAACACTGTTTTGCATTTGAATAAACCTATCTGGTTTGCAAAATAATGAGTAAATTTTGTTTCATTGGTGTGTTATATTGTAATATTGCTAAGATTTTACAAGTGGCAACACAATTCTAAGAGAGTCCTATTTTTGGGGTAAACTGGGCAGGCTCATAAAAACCCAAAATCCCCTTTCTAACCCTGGTCCAAGAAGATGTAATGCAATTTGAGGAATTTTTCCTGATTCTCACAAGTTAATCTGAAGTTAAGGCTCAATTCTCAAGTCATTTTAAAGGTAACTGCTTTGCATCAGTGAATGAATCCAACAGGTGGGGGAGGGGCAGAAGACGATGATGGGCTAAAGACAGAAACCGTAGGCGATATGGGAGAATTTGGTTTTGTGATACAAGCACGTTACCCAGCTCACTTCCTGGAGTAACAACACATTGCATGGTACAATACTTTTGAAGGGTTTCACCATTCGGTCACATGTCCGTTGAACCCGTGCTTGTTAGCGACAGGCAAGCCCAACGCGGAGAAAAAGTCTCAGGTGCTCGTGGGAAAATCAACTATAAACCCCTTCAAATCTTAAAGTTTCTACTCAAGATTCCTTAGAACTGAAAGAGGTGGGGAAGAGGCACAGGAAATCAACATGTGGGTATGACAGTATGATCGCAGGCTGGTAACATAGACGAGTCTATGCAGAAGGCCCCTTTCCTCAAAACACTGCGAGCCTATGGGTATGTGGCTGACGCAGGGGGCGCAGCTTCCCGAGGTTTGGAATGATGTCACAGGGGACCAGGGAGCCTGACCTTCTCATTGGCCTCGCCCTTTGGAGTTGGAAGGGAGCCAGGGAAAAGATGGGGGGGTATGCAAAGAGACAAGTGGCTGTGGATGGAAGAGGGGGAAGCGGGAAACGCGAGTCACACTGCGGCTTTGTGCTTCCCGCCACAGCACCTGCACATCACTCCACAGTGATAACAGGCTCGAAGGGGAAGGTAACAGCACATACAGGGAGCCAAGAAAGACAAGGCAATAAGTGCCAACCACCGGAGGCAAAACTTCTCGTCGCTAGTGTCGCACGAGCAAGGGTCCGTGTAGTCTCCCTCGGGGTCCGACATACAGTGATATAGCATACTGTCTGCACACCACATACAGCTCACACGGCGGATACAAGTTCTCACAGCATCAGGAGCATCCTGGCAGTGGCCCCTGCGGTTCTCCTCATGGTTGAACATGTCCCTGCAATACACACAGCGTGAGCGCTCGCCGTCCTCCTTGCGCCGTCGGGACTTGCCCTTGGCTGGCTGCGTCTTGATCACACTGCTTCTACCACGGCCTTTAGTATCCTCGCCGAAGCCAAAGTCTGAGGAGTCCACATAGGGGTAATTATAGTCATGCTTGGTGGCCTCACCCTTGGCAAAGCGCACATAGGAGTCCGCGTCCTCTGTGGTATCCAGGTATTTTCCACGCAGCGGCGCGTGCCGATAATCCTCATAGCCGCTCGTCATCCAGATCTTCTCCCGAGGATTGATCCTTACGATTTCTTCATCATCCTCTGGGAAGGTAACCTGTGGGTAGGACCTCGGCAGCCTCTGTCCGGAGAAAAACCAGATACTGTTACAGCCCGAGGCGCTCCATGGACAGCGGCCAAAAAAAGATCTGCGGGGCCCTTCCTTCCCTTCAAGGATGCGCACAAAGTGCCGATAACCAGCCGATAACCTGCCGATAACCTTTTACCGACAGTTTGTCACTCCCAGACACTTTTCACATCTTGAGCCTCAATTATGTGTATAGCCTAGCAGTTTTCATGGGAAGGTCTGCCCATCTTAAGAGCAGTCTGAGCTCAGTTGGCAAATTCTTGCCGAACAAAGAGGAAGCCCTGAAGTCAACCAGTCCCCAGTGTACTACAGACCAGGCGCGGAGCCCAACCATACCTGTAATCCGCCCACCCACACCTGTTATCCCGGATTTGGGAGGTGGGGGCATTCAAGGTCTTCTGCTACATAGTGTGATCTCTGACAGCACCGGAAGACCCTGTCTCAAAAAAGAGTGCAGCCTGGTGGCTTATGCCTTTAGTCCCAGCACACGGGAGTCAGAAGCAGGCGAATCCCTGTGAGTTCGAGGCCGGCCTGGTCTACAGAGACAGTTCCAGGACAGCCAGGGCTACACACAGAAACCCTGTTTCGAAAAACCAAAAAAGGGTACAGTTGGCTAAGTCCAACATTCCCACGTGAAGAGGAAAAATAGGTCCTGCCTTACTTCCAATCCCCACGAACACCCTTGATGGTTAATCAAGGTCAACTTGATGAATCTCCAGGGAGGCAGCCTTGTAGAGGGTTATCTTGATAAAGTTAAATAGGTGGCCACACACGCCCACTGTGGGGCTGGAATCCTGGACTGCATAAAAACGGGAAGGTAAGCGGAGCAGACATTCTCCCAGCTGCTGACACAATGTGACCAGGTGTCTCAAGCTCCTGCTGCCCTGACTTTCTACCACGATGATGGGCTGTGGGTAAGGTCCTTTCTCTCTTAAGCAGCACACCCCTCTCCCCAAGGTGTTTGGATCACACAGCAACAATCTCCCAAATGCTGGGATGGAAGGCCTGGTTTAAAATGGAATATTTTGGGGTTTTTGTTTTGTTTTGTTTTTGTTTTCATTTGTTAAGACAGGGTCTCAGTTTTAGCTCAAACTGGCCTGGAAATCACCATGTAGCCCAGGCTGGCCTACCTCTGCCTCCCAAATTCAGGATTATATGCCACCACACCCAGCTAAAAATATGAACATTTTAATGTCAAAATACTAGGAAGCACATAGTAAAACCACCTTAAAACACCAACAAAAACAAACAAAATCTCCCTGCCCAGTACTTGCTTCTTTTTATTTCAAGTCAGCCAAGAGGTCACATAATCCACAAAGGCACCAGTCTATTCCCCATGATTTGGGAAACCTGTTCCACAAAACAGCCACTCAGTAAATATTTGTTGAATTACTGAATTCAGGCTGCAGTTATATCTTCCTGAGCAAGACTGGGCCTGTAGCCCACATGCCAGAGGTGCAAGCCAAGTGTGAGCATTCCTTGACTGGGGCCCTGTGCTTTCACAGCCAGGAGGCCCTTTGGATGGAGGAACACAGAGGGAGTTAGAACCCCATGCAAAGACCTCCTTCTCCCGGGTACCCTACAGCTCTATCATGTTCTCATTTGTAAACCAAAGGATGCCAATGCCTCATGGGGTGATCTGGATGAAAGCAGGGAGAGCACACACAGGGTGAAGCAAGGTGCCTTGTGGGGCTGAGCTCCAACCACTAGAAGCACTTCCACCACAGTTGAGGGCAAAGCAGGGTAGAAGTGGCCGAGCTAGGGAGGAGGGGGAAGGCCAGCCAGTGCAGAGCTGTCCTTATGCTTCCAGAGGAGCGAAGTCCCCTGCTTACCTGGTCGGGGTGGTAATGGTCCATGGGGTATGGGTCAAGGGTATAAATCCTCCGGTGCTCACAGGATGTCGGGGAGGAGATTGTCCTTGTATGTTGCTCTCGCTTCTGAGAGGAATTAGAAGAACTGTCTGTAGCTGTCTGTTTGGAGAGAAGCAATGAAGAGTTCATTAATAAAACAAGCAAAAACAACAACAAACAAAACAAAACCCCAACAGGGCCTGCCAGATGGCCCAGCAGGTGAAAAGTGCTTGCTGTGCAAACCTTGACCACCTGACTTCACTTCCTAGAACACACAGCTCGAGAAGTGACTTCCAAAAGTTGTCTTCCAGCTTCCACATTTGCCATGGCACACACAAGTCCACATAAGCACACAAGCACTCAGGTTCACTCATACAAAGAAGTAAACAATGACAAAACACACAAGCTCGACCATGCACTATCCAAACACCACCTGTTTCCTGGCTGCAGCATCTTCCGGAACCTTCCAATCCCTGTTTATTTTTAAGGATTTATTCATTTACTTAGAGACAGAGTCTGGTTATGTAGTCCTGGCTAGCCCGGAACTCCTTATATAGCCCAGGTCTGCCTCTCCCATGCTGGATTAAAGGTGTGTGTTGGGGGCTCGAGAAATGGTTCAGGCAGTTTTTACAGAAGATCCAGGTCCAACTCTAAGCACCCACATCAGACAGCTCCACTGCCTCTAACTCCGATTCCAGGGGATGTGATGCACATACAAAGAAGCAAACATATGTACATATTCAAAAATAATTTAAAAATAAAACCCAAAAGGTGTGTGCCATCACACCTTGCTTATTTCATTTTTAGTAATGTGTACTCGAATGCAGGTGCCCATGTAGGCCAGAGAGAGCATTGGAACCTCTGGAGCTTACGGGCACTGTGAGTCACCTGAGCTGGGTGCTAGGAATGGTAGCACTGGATGCTTTTAACCTTTGAGTCATTTCTCTAGTCCCAGTGGGTTGACTAGCCACCCAGCGTGGCTTGATCTTCTGACTCTACCTCTTGTGGGATATCTGTACATTGTGTGAAGTTGTTGTGATTGGTTTAATAAAGAGCTGAACGGCCAACAGCTAGGCAGGACGCATAGGAAGGATTTCTAGGGAGAAATAGGAAAAGGAATCTAGGCACACATGTGACATCAGGAGACATGGAAAGGAAACAGTAGGTCCAAGAGAGGGAATGCCACATGATAGGATGTAGATGAATAAAAATGGGCTAATGTAAGTACAAGAGCTAGTTAGGAACAAGCCGAAGCTATCTGCTGAGCTTTCATAGTTTATAAGAAGTCTCCATGTCTTTATTTGTGAGCTGGTGGCCCAAAGAAAAATCTGGGGGGCAGAGGTAGGCAGATCTCTGAGTTCAAGGCCAGCCTAGTCTCCAGAGCAAGTGCCAGGATAGGCTCCAAAGCTACACAGAGAAACCCTGTCTCGAAAAAACAAAAAAATCCGACTACAACCTTCCAAGTGCTGGGATCAGAGGTATGGACTGACACTCCTGGTTTTCCAGTCTTGAGCTCATCTTAAGACATGTCAAAGATCAGATTGTCTCAACAAGAAGTAGTTAGCTCAATGGGCAGAGAGGCCCAGCAGCAAGGCCTTGGAGAGACAAGTCAATTTTCTCAGTATAAAAGCAATACTGGGCCACGGTGAAAGGGCTATGTACTTGGTTCCCAGTAGCCACTCTGGTGTGACTAAGCATGGTTGCTGTGACCTTGGCTGCCAGACACCATGACAAGAGGAGATGTACATTAAGTAGAGAGAAAAGCTCCTCCCTCATCCTGCTCCTTTTGAGACTGAGTTTGTCTATGAAGCCCTGGCTATCCTTGAACTCCTGAGACTGGCCTGCCTCTTCCTGGTGAGTACTCACAGCCACTCTTGTGGGATCTTGGAAGCTAAGGATGCTTAGAGAAACATGGACAATGGAAGGCTGTCCTGGGGAGTTTCAGAGGGTGGCAAAGACACTATTGAGATTTGATTATGGGGGTGTAAGTGTGATACTTTGCATAAAAGTGTATGTGGGCTGATTATCTGGGGCTGAAGAATCAACAGTGACTGACAGCAATCAGCAGTACTGAAGTGAAACTTCTACTTCACTTGGGACAATGTGACACTGGGCAAGCCAAGGCTGAAAAATCAGTTGTGATCAATGAGACATCAGCACCATTGAGATGAAGTCTTTTGAGCCTCTTTGAGATGACAGAAAACTATTTCTTCACAGTGAGTGCATAGAGCTGGTCCATGGGAGGCAGGCTATATTTTTGCATTTGCTGTGGAACTTGGCAAACAGAATGTAAGCACTGTCCAGGTAGTACTGGTTTTGAAGGTGCAAGGTTTGTCATGGAGAATAGCTGAAGCTTGGTACATCAGGCAAGCATCAGAGAGGCCACTGGTGAAAGTGCAGCCTTGGTTGCGATGGAGACCCCAGGATACCAGAGATAGATGCCAGGAGAGCAGTAGGTGTTAGTGGAATCAGTTTAAGTCTATGGGACAAACAGTGCTTGCTACCCATGGCAGAGCTGGAGAAGTGGGCTCCCACGCCTGTTAGAGCCAGAAGACTACACAATGAGTGAGTTCCAGACCCCAGACATTAAGCTACAGGAGTTTTGACTTTCATTGCTGGGTTTTGTTTTTGTTTTGATCTAATCATTTTTATGGCCTGGTTCTTCCCTTCTGGAATAAGTATGAAACTTAGTTTTAGTTTTACAGGATCCCAGAGTTAAGAGACTTTAAATTTTTAAAGTTGTAGTGTGTTTTACATTGTGATATTAACACAAGATCTTGAGACAAGGTTACAGTTTAAAGTGACATGTTTCTGTGTCCGGTTGACAAGGGTGGAATGTCCTAGTTAGCTTTAACTTTCAACCTTACAGCCCAGTCACCTGAAAAAGGAGTATCATTTGAGGGACTGTCCAGATCAGACTGCCTGTGGCTATGAATGTGGGGGACTGTTAACTGATACAGGAGGGCTCAGCCTACTGTGGGTGAGACACTGTTCCCTGGGCAGGTGGGCCTGTGAGCTAGTCGGCAAACAGTATTCCTTCCTGATTTCTGCTTCAAATTCTTGTGTATACACCCACTCCCTGATTTCTCCCAATGATTTATTTCAGGTGTATGCTACCAGATAAGTCTTGCAAAGTGCTGATGTGACCGTGACATGTACCTTGGAACAGGTTCACCTGTTACCCCTTGGTGGCCAGAGTGAAGGGGAAGTGCCACACAAAGCAACACACACTCACACACACACACACACACACACACACACACACACACACACACACACTTACTTAAGAAAGACCCTTAAGTATTCCAGTGACTCGTGTCAACTTCAACCCCAAAACCTTACCATCAAGGATGTTTTCAGTCTGCCTTGCTCTTGGGTAGGTTTTACTGAACTAACATCGGAGCTCTGTACTCTGAACAAAAGTGAAGTTCTCTCTAATTACTCTGGGCCTGGGAGAGTCAGCTTCAGCAACAGGTTTCCCAACAAGCAGAGGCATCGGGATTGGGGCCACCTCCTTAATGCCTCCAGCTATGTTCGGGGAAGCAGGGACGGGGCACAGACCCAGTCACCTGCACATGTGACTTTGTCAATACCCATTTAGTACAGAGATGTTCAATGAAGACACGGGCAGCCTGCAGAGGGACCACCGAACCGCAGTGGGATGTTATGCTAACAGTAGAAGGATTACTCCCCCGACCCTCCCTTAGGTAGGTTGGATTTGAGTGATTCTGTTAACTGGTAGGTAGAAGTTGACCTCTTAGTAACTGCAGTTTTTACATTTGTCAAATGGGGCTAAAATCGTCAAGGTTATTTAAAAACTGAAACAAGTTGTAAAATGTCTATATCAGATACTTTTCTACTGCTGTGTTAAACACTGGGACTAAGGTAACTTATAAGAAACAAAAACAGCTTATAGCTCACATCTCAAACTGAAATCAGGACTCAGAGAGACTGAGTGCCACTTGAGACCCAAAAGCCCATCCCAGTGACACACTTCCTCAGCAGTGTCCCAGCTCCTAAGACTTCATAACACCCTACCAACTGGGGACCAACTATTTGAAACCCCTAGACTTATGGGGGACTTCCTATTTGAACCACTCTATTCCACTTCCTGCCTCCCACCCCCAATAGACTCATGGCCAAATTATAACATATAATACATTTAGTCCAACTTCAAAAGTCCCAAGTCATTTGGTCTTACAACTGTTTAAAAGTCTGAATTTCAAACCAGGGGGTAGTGGTGCATGCCTTTAATACCAGCACTTGGGAGGCAGAGACAAACAGATCTGGTCTACACAGTGAGTTCCAGGATAGCCAGGGCTATGCGAGAGACATTATCTCAAAACAAAACAATAACAACAAAGTCCAAAGTTCCAATCTTCCAATCAAGGCAATCTCTTTACTGGGATACACTATAAAATCAAACACAAATTACATACTTCCTATATAAAGGCACAGAATAAACATCACCATTCCAAAAGGGAGGGGTTAAGGCATGGTGACGGCATACTGGACCAAACCAAGATCCAAATCCAGCAAGACAAACTCAAACTCCTGAAGCTGTATGTTCAATGTTAGGACTTACATGGCTCTGTCTTCCAGCTCTGCTGCCTGCAACTCTCCTATGGCTCTGGCACTGCTAACATCTTGGGATCTCCAATACTATTCAGGTTTTTTTTTCACGGCTTTACACAATGGCCTCTCAGGGTTTCTTGCCCCCTAAGAGCCTTCATGCAGGGATTGTCCTGCTATACACTGCGCAGCCTCAGTGGCTTTCCTTAACCACAGAGTAAGATTCCACAATCCCTTTACTCCTATATATCCTTCAGGACTCTAAAAGCCAGAACCATGTGGATGACACTGCCAAGTGCAGCTGCCTGCTTGGGATAGAGCCTAGATCCCTTGGTTCACATTTGCAGTGGTGTTCCTTTGTTGCTTTTTAGGAACAGAAGTTCCCTGGCTTTTTCCTTTCGTAAGTTAGAAGCACCTTCCCTTTGTTCTACTGCAGATCAGGTCTCTATTTATCTCCTCAGTTCTTCCAGCAGGAGCCTTGCTATTTTTCCCAAGTTTATTTTTGCATTTCTTTCTGCCCATTTGATTGTGTTTTTAATTGTAACCCT